TTTTCTCTTTACAGCTCTCAGTAATAAGGTTTTGCAGCATTCAAAAGAAAAACGTGTGGTTTCTCCGCAGGAAACCCATGATACCGTTTGTAATCAGAGCCATAATTTCAGGGGCAGTAAATGTGCTTAACGCTGGTCTGAGAAAATGGTGAAATTCAGGACTTTGTCTACAATGCACAAATGACACTGATTTCTTAAAGACATTAAGTGCAAATTTCCCTGTCAGGGTCAGCAGAGCTCTCTGCAGCGTTTGAGGCTGGCGGGAAAGGCCTCGCTTTTTCTGGCAGGTATTTTATGCCAGCCTCCCTCCCTTCTGTAGCATCATTGCTCATTTATGTTCACTACACAAAAAGCACCAGGTCTGCACCTGCAAGCTAAGCAAAGCCCACGCGCTAAGCTGGAAAGAACAGTTCCGCTTCTCTGATGCGCTGTGAGGTTAGAACCAGAGCAGACTCCACTTCAGCATAAGCTCCCCTCCAAACACTTCTGCTGCAGTTACTTGCCCCAGCAAAGCCTTGAAGATCCCTTACTAACAATACCTAAGACAGCACATTCCATACTTCAAACAGTCATTTACATCTTGCAGGAATACCTACGCTTCCCAAGACTTCTACTACAGTCGGTCTCCCTTTCATTCTTTGCAAGGGGGTTTCCACTACCCCACTTAGCATTAAAAAGAACAGTTTCTCCAAGAAAGGCTGTAATTTGAGTAGTGATAGAGAAAGCAGGCATCCGAGGCCTGGTTCTGTGGTCAGCTGTGCAGTTTATTTCACCTTCAGGAAGCCACAATAAACATGCACGCTGCAGTCTTGGGAAAGTACCGGCAACACACATACAGTGCAAAACCGTGCTGCGCTAAGCGACTTCCTAAGTAAATAAGAGACCCAGATTTATCAAGCCAAATGCACTGGAGCCTTGTGCCAGCTGCCTATTCAATTTGCATTGCCTCCAGCCACACTTGAAAAATAGCTAGTTTTAATACTCATTTTCTAAGAAACAGCATAGGCAGTCCCCTGACGCCTTCTGTTGGCAGCATAGCAAAGACTTCAGTCTGAAAACAGAGAGGAAGGATTCAAGAGGGCTTTTCAGGGGAAAGCTACAAACTCCGAAACGTCAAGCAGGCAGTGTGCACTCACAGCCCAGAAAGCCAGCTGTATCCTGGGCTGCATCAAAAGGAGCGTGACCAGCAGCTCGAAGGAGGTGATCCTGCCCCTCTGCTCTCCTGAGACCTCACTTGGAATACTGTGAACAGTTCTGGTGTCCTCAACATAAAAAGGACATGGAACTGTTGGAACAAGTCCAGAGAAGGGCCACAAGGATGATCAGGGCACTGGAGCACCTCCTGTATGGAGACAGGCTGAGGAAGTTGGGGCTGTTCAGCCTGGAGAAGAGAAGGCTGCGTGGAGACCTCAGAGCAGCTTCCAGTATCTGAAGGGGGCCTGTAGGGATGCTGGGGAGGGACTCTTCATTAGGGACTGTTGTGGTAGGAGAAGGGGTAACAGGTTCAAACTTAAACAGGGGAAGTTTAGATTGGATATAAGGAGGAAATTCTTTACTGTGAGGGTGGTGAGGCACTGGAATGGGTTGCCCAGGGAAGCTGTTAATGCTCCATCCCTGGCAGCGTTCAAGACCAGGTTGGACGAGGCCTTGAATAATATGGTTTAATGTGAGGTGTCCCTGCCTATGGCAGGGGGGTTGGATGATCTTAAGGTCCTTTCCAGCCCTAACTATTCTATGATTCTATGATTCTGTGACTGTCAGAAGAAATTCTTTTCCCTTGAGACTTCCAGTCGTGTACAGCAAATTCCAGACTTGGAGGAGACTGCTGGGAATGGCAATGGTATTGTTATCCTTTTGAAGAAACCACAGGAAAATGTTCTGTCCTGCCACGGTTCATCTAGAGCCAAAAAAGCACTTCAAGTATAAGATTGCATTGTCTTCCTTCTGGAAACTTGCTGACCTCCTGTGTTGGTGTTCCAACAACATTATAATCTTGCCTTGGTCAGCTACTCCTTTAGCTCCATGCTCCCTGGGAAGAGCCTGCTATCTCATCACAGGAATTAGATATAACTAACATGTTTGGCTGCTGCCATATAACTCCTTCCTCAAAAAACACGTGTAAGCCTTTCAAGCTCATATATACCACTGACGCATAAACATATCAGTTGAAATAACGTTGTGGTAAGTGTGTTACTGTCTCCTAGAGCACGAGTACTTAACAGGCCACTTCCAGGCTTTCTAACTATTCTGTTCTGCACAAAGCACCATGCATTTTCAAGACACATCCTCCCATACACATCCATAACATGTTTTTTGTTGGGTTTATTTCTTCAGCTAATGCCAAAGAAAGAAAATCAAGATCCCTTTCTATGGCTTCCCTTCCCAACACAAAAAAGTTGTCTTTCATGCCTCCTTTAGGATGCTTCTGCTTGCCTTTCTCTAAAACAACAACATACTATTTCATAAGCTTTTCCTACTTTGTCAAGTGATCTTTCAGTCTGTTTCCCTCAATCATCCAAGTCTTCTGCCCAACAGTACTGTTTGACTCCATTTAAGCCCAGACCTGCTCCTTCACATACATCTGGGCACATCAATATTTAATAGTACTCCACCTACCTTCCCCCAGAATGTAAAGAGTAAGAGCTATTCTTGGCCAAGTCAGATGTCTACGTGACATAGATTCTTATTTTGGAGACGCTAGCAGCGTATCTTTACCAAAGATCACACGAGCTAAGCAGTCAGAGACACTTTCCAAGAATACACACCCAGCAGTTCATAGCTTGGAGGGGACTTCTAAAAGAAGAGGAAATGCCTTTGTACACAGTAGATGTGGGCAGAGCAGCATTACCTTACGTTCTTTCTCAAGTTAAGCACCATTTGTCCTTGTCTTCATTATACTGAATAACACCTCTTTAAGCAGACTACGGGCTCACTAAGTTTTTAATGTAGCACAAGAGAGAAAAGTAAGAAGTCTTATATTCACAAGGGATTTCACAGCCTGCAGCGAATAATTTCTTGCTATATCTAACAGAGCTTCCAGTCTGTTGAAGCCTGCCCAAAACTGTACCAAGCTCATATCCAATCCAATAGACTTTGCTTCTCCAAGCCAGTCAAAGCTAATACTGTACAACAATGATTTGCTCTTGGAGAGCAGATTTATTAACACACCACCAGGACTACAAACCCAGAAATCTCTTGCTGCATTCTTCGTGTCCACCTTTCCATCATCCCCCTAATTATCTGCAAAGGAGTTTATTCCTTGTAAGCTTCTTGTTCAGGCTGACAAGCATTTCATTCTGAATCCTCTGCAGATCTCAGATTTGCCCCTAGTGCTCCTAGCATAGAAACCAAGCAGCTGTCTCCCTTTTGACAATGCATACCTCCCACCCTCTCCAGCTTCTCTCTCAGTTCAGAATCCTTCCTTTTCTTAACAAGAGGCCTCCTCTTGAGATGCATACTCTTATCAGATGGCCCTGAGACACTTTGGTTCACTTGATCCTACAACATGGAACTGCTAAGGCCATTCATTATAACTGGTTAAAGCCTTCTCCTTCCCTAGGCTTGTAACAAACCCTTTACTTTCAAACATATGAACTGCAGTGTCCACAAAACTGGATGTCTTAGCTTCTTAAAGCAAAAGTTAAGACTAAGATCACAGAACACATTACTTACTGGAAGGAGATCTAGTTCTGCATTCTGGGTTACAGTGAAGTGTGATGGACCCATGCATTTTGGTTGAACAATGAGAAATTTTGAATCTACCTGTATCTATGAATGGGGTGTCTAAATTCAGTTGCTGGCAAAGGCCAAAGCTATGTCCACTTTAAAATAGCATCATTTTTCATGGTGATCATTACAACCTCAGAACCAGTATAAAGTGTAAGAATTCCCACAACTTTCAGTATTTTTACATCAATTTCTCCCCATCAGCTCACTTCATTATAATAAAGCTCAAGTAGTTAGGAGTCTATAGCCCCTTTTGGACTCAAATGGAAGGGTAAATTATATTAAACAAGACTAACCCGCTCCTTCATGTTCAAATAAGATGCTAATCCTGTAAGTTATTTTTTCAGCACTGATCTAAGGCAGTTAATATAAGAATAACATTCCAAGGTAATAACATCCCAAATAAGCATATGCTGCAAAGGACATTTTCTCACATAAGAGCCTTTCTTGAAGAGTAATGTTTTAAATTGCTCCTTAGAATACACTGAGGGCTATTTCTATGTATGTATTCCAAAAAGACAAACATTGCTATGTGATTCATTTCTTCTCTTGAGAAACCCTTCCCACTTCTGCATTATACATAATTGGAAATAAAACTGTTTGCTCTGCAGGAAATAAAACCCAAGAGATCCTCAGAAGTGAACAGAAAGCTTCTTTGACAGTGCTCAGAGTGCAAGCTTCCTCTGGAAGAAGCTACTCTGATTCAGAGGGCTTCTCTACCCAAACACAGGCATGTTCTCTTAGATTGTAAAGATAAATACACAGTAAGCAGCATGTTGATTTACCCTCTCTTTCCTCAACTGTTCTGGATTGTGAAACAATTCATAGACTTTAAAGAATGGAAGAAACATATTATGACATCCTTACCTGACCTTCCAGAGCTAGCAATGGTATGATTTCAGCATTACCTCTCTAAATCCTGTTTCAGATAAACTGTAGGCTCTCTCAGCAGTGCACTTTCAGACATGGTTCAGAAACCTCAGGGGAGAAAGAGTCAAAGAACACTCATAGGTAAAATAGCTCTGTAATTTAGTTTAAGAGGTATCTAAATACTTTTGTGGAATTCAACACAACATCACAAACAGGAAGGCTTAGAGTATGGGTCTCATAGGAATGCTACAGAAGTAGGTTTGTATCAGGAAAAACTGAACTAACCGTCCTGTATGCGCTCTTCTGTGGCAGGGCAAGTGGATAATAAATGCAAGTATACACATAAATAGCTTATCCCTGCCTTGGAGGCAAGCACTGAAGGAGCCTGCCTGTTTGCTAGCGAGGTTGTAAAAGCCTAAGCCACATTTCCTGTTTGTAAGACAGCGAGTGAAAGAAAGACGACCAGAGACATTTAAAATTGACAGCAACTCTAGAGGTAGATTCACGCTGCCAGGTCCAAAACAAAAGAGCATCCCAGATCTGCCAACATAACTTGATTTCCTGTTGGATGAAGGGCCGGGGAGCAGTCCTAGAAACAACACCTCCAGGTAAGCCTTATCTTTTCCCTATTATAAACTTGTGAACAAAGGAGCAGTAACAACACGCTATGGCAGACTACCAGTCTTCAAGAAGGTTGTTCTCAAGTCTAATTAGTAGTAATAATCAGGATGCTGATGAGTCGTCATCAACAGCTTAAAGCTGCATCAGTCAAGGTTTGTTAAGCAAGACTAAGCATTGGTGTTAGTTTTGCCCTTAAAATATTTACTGTGCTGAGGGCTTTACTTTACATTGCGCCGCCTCCCTTCTGAAGTTGAATCTGACAAAGCAATTAGTTGTGTGCTATTTAATTCCAGTTTAAGGAATCCTTTCCGGAGAATTAACCCTGTCTTAAAAACTCACACAGGTGGAAGCATCTTTAATGCTAATTTAACAATCATCAGTCTCTTAATGGCTTGCTTTTTCTAAGGGTCATTAACAGAACATTATTTATCTCACCATTTAATTGGAGAGAGTTCAAAAAGAAGAGCTAGTTTTATCTCTCTTAGACAAATTTGAAGACAGAAACAACAGGAAACAAACCATTACCTTCCTGTCATCCTTTGCCATGGATTCTCTAAACAAAATAGCTTAGGACAAGAAGGAATGAAACTTAGCACTTCTGCTACCTATTCTTTGCTGTTAGGAGGATCAACAACTGTTTCTAGCCCCAGTTTGTTAAATCTGGCCCCTTTTCCCAAAGGCAAGTACATGATTATGTCTGCTCCTTTGCTCATTTTGTTTTATTTTGTTTGCTTCTTCACTCCCCCCTGCCTCCAATTACAATATAATGAAGCCTGCAAAGAGAAAGCCTAAGAAGAAACGCCCAAAACTCTGTTGATTTCCATGTCTTGTCTCTGTTGGTGGAGAAAGTTGTCATAGGTTTAAACAGGAGAAAGAGCAGAATGAACGTCTTTAGAAAGTCTTTTGTTTGTCCGTATTCTGTTGTGTGAACAAAGTCCCTTTAGCTTACAGCAGTGTAAAATATTCTAAGAGGAGGTGAGTAACCTCATCCCTCAAGTCAGAAAAGTAAGAAACCTCATCCAGATGGAGTAAATTACCTAACGTAGATGTTCTACTTGGACACAGCTCCAAGATTGACCCTGTTTCCAAACAGAAATGAAAGCACAGCAGAATAGGAATGTATCATTAACACTAGAAATCTTCTGGCACTAAGTATTCAAAATATTGTCATCTTTATATTAATTAAATATAGTGCTCTCCCCACTCACCCATCCCAACTATTTCTAACAATAAAATGAGAATTGCCATAGAATCATTAAATGGTTTGGAAGGGACCCTAAATATCATCTAGTTCCACCCCCGCGTGGCGGGTAGGGCCATCCTTCCACTTGACCATTCCAAGGCCCTCGCCATGGAACCTTTGGATAGACAATGAACTCTTTTCTTCCACAGAGGAGCGCTTTACTTTAAGAACAGCTTCAATATGATTTCTTATGGACAAACTACTATCACTCTTAAGTATTCCCATCACAGACGGACTATCACAGAAAAGCCTGATGGATGTGAGCATATCCTGTTGGAATCATAGAGTACTATTCCCAGGGGCCTAATTTTTCCATAGGACTTTTCTTCAAAAACATAACAAAAGGTTAAAAAAATATTCAATTTGACAACAGTTACGCGAAGAAACCCCCTCAAAAGAGTGTTATGGGCTCTTTGGAATAAAGATGTAGTATGTAAATAATAAGACTCTGTTTTTTCTACATTTGACAATAGGCGACTTGAATGAGAATTAAAATTAGAGAACAGAATAAAAGACACTATTTCAGAAGAGGCTATAATTACTGATAAACTTCTTTTTTGGTTTATTTCTCACTCTCCATCCACATTCACCTTATCTTTCTTTTGTCTTTAGCACCACCAGGCTACTGTTGCAGTTTGCATCTGCTGTTATACATACAGGGACATCAGTGTAGTTATCTGAGGAAAGAAATTATTCCTCATACAGGTATTCATATTTACTGCTACTGCTCCTGTTGTCAAAGTAGTAAATATATAAATAAGGCAATTATAAATGTAAATAGCTAGCACATTGGCAACAACTATAAGGGTAGTACAGGAGCACCTGGAGAGAGCTGGGAGTTGTATAGCTGTAAAGCTAAGATATAAAATCAAAATCTCTCACGATTTGTCCTTGGAAATTAAGATTAACTTGAAACCAACATTAGTCAAGCACAGAGCACTCAGAGCAGCACCCATGTGTCTCCGATCAAGGTCTTTACTATGGTTTCATGGGCTAAATAAAAACAGCTGCTGTTTCTGAAATAGAAGTAGTGTTTTCTGACAAACAAATAGCTCACATTGCAAAGACAAAAAGCCTAAGAGATACTGAAGTCGCACTTAGGTTTGAATACATGCTACTGAAATACACAAGGAGAGGTTTAAGTCAGAGCTGTGGAAGATAAACTAAGCGGTGTTCAGCTAGGAATACACTTAAATGTTGTTTTCTTAATCTCCCCCCAGCCATGCAGTTTTCTAAATAACATTTAAGAACTATTGATTGTGAGATGTACAACATTGGTATGTTTTCTTCGAAATCCAAGTTTCACATCTTCTGTTTTGATTGAATGCTTTTAAAGTCCTAGGGAAGTGGGACTTGGCTTCCTCCAGTTCAGTTTAGGGGCTGAAAACATCAGACTGAAACTAAGAGATCTCCCATCCTGGAAATATCAGGGAAAAATAGGATTCCTCAATCACTAAGATAAATCACAGCATTCAATATGAAGAAAAAGGTACATACTTACGCCAGAGCTGTACTGTAGGTATTCACTCATTGTTTTTATTCTAATGAATCACAGGGCTGTCGTTTCTATCACAGTTAGATGCGCTTCCCTTCTCGTAGGCCACAATACTACATCTCATTCCTGGAAAAGGAAAAAGGGTTTGTAGGAGAAGAAACACAAAAATAAGAAAAATGGAAAACAATCACTTCAGAAAACGTATAAGAAGAGAAGGAAAGATGACTTATATAGGTACTACGTTGAGACTGATACAGCATTTACATAGGATGCAAATATCGAACAACTAACCAGGTTCCAAACACTAATGGTTCTTCACATGGCCTGATAACAGCTTCTCAAGGTCATATCTCCCTTCGTTTTAATCCCTTCTCTGAAAAGTGGGAATAATACATACCTGCTTTACAGCAGTGTTGTCTCTCCTCATGAACGTCTGTACCTCATTGAAAAAGTGCCTCTCAACATGAAAAGTAGCATTGCAGTGATGGAGAAACCCAAAACACCTTTGGCAGGGCTTAAGTAGGAGAACAGAAAGGAATGGAAACAGGATGTTTAGGTTAAAAGGAAGGCTCGACGGCCACTGGAAGTACCCTGTGTGAAAATCGGTTACAAGTCAAAGTTACAGCCTACGTGCTCCGTTTTGTTCCTTTTAAGAGAGTTCTGATCAGGAAGGAAACCTGCATTGTAGGAGGCCTTATGATTTGTGATTATTTTCACTACCAAGTGTCATCTGGTTTCATTGTCATAAAACATCTGTGGCTTGGAATAAAAACAAAACTAAACCAGCTTTTTCAACACCAGCAGAATTAGGGAATGGAACTTGTAAGGAGCAGTTCCTAAAGTGAGCTAGAGCCAGTCAGCCAAGGAACAAAGTTCTGTTTTCTCAGCAGGAGCAAAATGCATCGCCCCCTCCCACCCCTGACCGGCAACATGGGAAGGAGTAGTCCTGTACTTCCTTACCTCAGCTTCCATTAAGAAGCAAACAAATGTCGGCCTCCTGAAGGAATTCAGCTATATCAATACCAAATCAGTGTATTAAGGACCTGCTTGAATCTCTCTCTGACAGCATCATCCAGTCTTTCTCATGTTGACTGCTCTGCTCCAGGTAGAATTTTCATGTGATGCTAATGGAATTCCTAAGTTTTTGGGACAAGTCTTTACTTCAAACACTCCAAACCCGAAACATAACCATGGTGGAAAAATCCAGCTTCAAGCTCCTTTCACTCCTGTATTTGGGCTCAGCATTTCCTCTGTCAGGGAATGGTTCCGCAGGCAATTTGCAGCCACACTGGTCATTCTGGCCATTAAACTGCCATAAACAGGCCAGCTATCTTCTTCAGCATTGTCTGGGATGGAAAACTTGTACCAGATAGGTTAACTGAAGAATTAATTAAATGACCAAATACATTCAGTGCAGGGAGGTTCCCTCCTGGGTTTCTAATAGGGCTCAAAGGAGAGGCAAGTGCAGTGCAAAAGGAGGCTTTGTTCAGTTAAGTTGACCTGTGTTTCATCAAGTGATTCTTCAGGAGCTGTTTGGGTTTCTCTCTGCAGTCATTCGGGGGGGTTCACTGGTTCTCAGCTACCGCTCATCCTATGCCACTACATCCTCTGCTTTCTCAGGAAGGACAGTGAGGGTATGAGTACAAGTGGTTTTAACAGGAGATGCAAGAAAGCACATATCAACCTGTGAAATTTCTTGCAGGTATTGTTAAACCATGATTCAGAGACATTTCAAGTGAAGGAAGTTGTTTGGACTGACTTCATCTTCAGAACTACATCCATGAACTCCAAAATTTAGCCGGAAACTCGCTGCAAATAGTAAGTAAAAGGCAATTAGAAAAATCATTTAAAAGCTATTCACTAAAATGAGTTTTTTCTTTAGCAAGTTCTGATTTTTACTGCTTCGTACAGGCAAACCGATGGCCCAGCCTTTGGCTGAATTCCTATGAAGCAGTAGTTCACTTTATTGATGTTGCTTTCTTATTATCTAGCATCTGGTTTTGCTATGAATTATGTAGCTTGTATAGCAATGGCTGTCACAGAGTAAACAACAAAACAGCAGCTTCAGTTACAGAAAGCAAAAATCAACCAACTTAAACCACACAAAAGAATAGAGCAAAACTGTTAGACACCATGAAATACAGTACTATTTTCTTTCAGTTGCAGACATGGACTGCCATTTTTCTGTCTGGGGAGTTCTGGCCTTTTTGAGTTTGGCCCTGGTTGTTTCCTTGGTACTGAACGTTTCACATTATATGACAAAGAAGCAAGGTAAGTAATGTTGTCTCTCAGTAAGGAATGGAGCGATTAGAGCGTCTGTAGGGAAAGCCATCACTGCTGGGAGATTTCAAGCCAACAAACTGACTCATATGAATCATCTTTTGGCAAGAAAGATGCTAGTAGAGAGGATATAACTTAAAACCTTATAGGAGTTTTAAGTCAGGTATGATTCCAGAATGCTCGCTAGCTGCCTAACCCACTGCTAAATACAGCTACCCAAATCCAGACTCTGAAGACAAACCAACAACGTGAAGAACCTAGTTCTGGCTATATTTTGAAATCTATTTTTAACACCTGTAAGTTCCTTTTTTCAAATGTATTGACTCAAAACACATTTGAGGGAATTTTCTCCTCCCCAAGTTCCCGGATGCTTCTTTGAATTTCAGATTCATCCGCATTTTGTATGTAATCAGTTGACTTGGGAAAAAATACAAATGAAATAAAGATCCAATTGCTTTTCATCACGGGATGCTAACCTAGCTCTTAAATCAATGTGTCACAATAAGGAACTGATTTCATTTGTGCTAGAGGGTGACTACAGTCATACTCTGGTTTTGGTGAAAATTAGCTATGACTTTATGCCAGTGCAACCTCTCGTATGCATGCGGTTCTATAGGTGTTTAGTTATACAATCCCCACCACTCCCACTCAGGGCAAGCTGTCTTTACACAGGGTAAACCTTATCTATGCAACACACATAAGGGTGGGCAGACAGTGGTGGATTCAATCACATTAAACACACACACGTACATGATCTACGTGAGCAGAAGGTCTGTAGTTATAAACTGCACTCATAAAGTATTGAAGAATTAGATTATTACAGGATATTAAAAGAGCTAATGGAGTGTTGTGGGATGGGGGAGCTTTTTGGGTTATTTTGTCTTTTAGTGCTACTAGGCAGATATTTCTATAACGAACTATCACACTCATTTCCAAAACTAACCTTGAGCAAGGCTTCAGTCAGACTGGCTGCTGCTGCACTGTCATGGGATTGGAGATAACCATAGTAAATTCTGGAGTGCTGGAGCAGAGGTCAGAAAGTCTGGTGTTCCTGAGTTATTCATCAAGCTCGAGCAACAAATCTCTTTGTAGCCATTGCCTTTCTGTTTCAGAATCTTCATCTCTGTGGATCACAGGATATCTCTCAGAGATACAAGCAACAGAACTAGTAAAATAAACCCTTCATCATGTAATGTGAACACGATGCACGATGCACCCCCCCATGGCAGAGAAAAAGATGAGGCAGAAGGAGGAGGAAATGAAGAATTAATCACATTGCAGTGCCTTTTTGGGGGGCTGCAAGCTAATGTAGGCTTTACAGCACAGGGTTATAACACAAACATTTCTTGTATTAGTCAAAAGTATTTGAGGAGAGCAGGGGGACACCCAAAGGTCCTGAGAGGCAAGAGCTTTCAGTTTTATTTCTGACAGTGAAATCCGAAGTATGAAAGGTGACACAACTGCGCTGACGTGCTCTAAAAGGAGCACCTTTCATTTTCTTTTAACTTTATCTTTCCTCTTTAACAAATTTTCCAGCTAAATTATATAACGACTACGAAGGGACCAGCCCAAGGTAAGCTGGACAAAACCATCTCTTTCTGACAAGGATGAAAGAAGCAATACATAATGGCAGATGGCTTTGGAGGGGTGGCATGGGGGGAAATCCAGTATCTCATGCAGCCTGTCTGGAAATGTTAGGTTGTGGGAAGGGTGGTTGTAGGGAAAAAAAAAGAAGTTTTCCAAAGAAAACAGGGGGAAAAAGAAATAAAATCATGCAGGAGAGATATACTCCAGTCGTTTTTTTTCCAACAACAAAATAATTGCATCCTTATATGATAACTTTATCTATGAAAGAAATCAAGATAGAGCAAAATCACTATTTACTATCACTCAAACTCAATAAAACTATAATAATTTAAGAGAACTCTCAGAAAACAACAATAAATTACAGGCTGACACTTGTGGAGCAATAATTTATCTGTATTTACATTTCATACTCTTTTACGCGTGATGCTCAAAAGCGGTAAAACAGAGACGTTGCCAGTCCTCGGTATGTTTGGTCTTGTCTTTTAGATCACATGCAATTTGCCATTGTTACATGTGTGTAAAATGTTTTAGAGTAAACCAGTGGAATCCTAAATAAAGTATACTCTATGAATTAGAAGTATTTTTCCATTCCCCTTGTAGCTACAATAACCATCACGCAGAAGATGACCCAGTTTATGGCAACCTTAATCAAGATATTTTAGGTAAGCTTCACTTTCAGAGCAGGTGTGATTAAAAGATGACTGACCAGTATTGTCTGTGTTTCTCAAACCTGAGAATCCACTGCTTTTCAATTGCTGTATTAATACCTACTTGGGATAGAACTGCAAACCATCATACTGCAGTACTGCTAAGGCCAGATCTCATGCTGAATTTGAGGTTTTACAGTCCAAATGGTTCTGTTCAGCCAAATATCTCAAAACCAAGAGCGTTTGTGCATATAAAGCTGCATGAGGTGAAATGACATTGAAGCATGTTAAAGCAATCCAAGACATAAACTACTCATTACCCAAAGTCAGCGCTCCCACGGAAGCTGACAGAAACAGTTCTCTGCTATGGCTATCCACAGCTCATCAGCAACATTAACAAACATGCTGAAACAAGCCCAGCAGCTGAATGGTGAGCACACATAGCTTTTCTCTGCTCTAGTGGGCTGTAGTTAATAACCCTTTGCAGAGAAATACAACATTAAAGGCAATAACATCATAGAATTGCAGCTAGAGCTCAATATGATGAAGGTATCCCTCCCAAAACCCTTACAGTGTTAAAGCAGTATTTAGGTGACATGAACACAACTTTTTGTTAGCCTTATGTGGGGTTAAGCAAAACCAAAGTGTTTGAGCAGTAAAAATAAACTACAAACCCCAAACTCTTTCATATGGGGATTGCACAAATTTAACCAAGCCAACACTCAACTGCACGGGCTACAACAGTCTGAAAACTGCAAGGAATTAATCTGTTTTACTGATGACAAAAATCAAGACAGAACACGAGCAAGTAACTTGAAACCAGCTTACAGAAAACAGAGGCAGGAATAGAAGTTAATCATTAGCTGCTGCAACTCACACTTTCTCAACTGAAGAAAAGACTGCCTGTGCTGACAAATACACCACTATGTGGTTACCCAACAGCAAGACATCCTCCTAGCAGGCCAAACTGGTGCCCACTTAGTGAATAATGAGAAGCTTTTTCTCCGTATGAACACAAAATGCTTTTCATTTTCATTGTATGGCTGCATTTCTTAGCTCTTTGCCCCTCTGTAAGTAGAGGGAGAGCTCTGTGTGTGATTTTCATACAAAACAAGCTTCCATGAGAGTGCACTGGGGGGAGTTAGTTCTGTAACAAGGGAGGATCTGTTGATCCGAACATTTAAGACTCAGTAGTGTGTCTTGATAACTAAAACATTTTCTGCTTTGATACATTACAGAGGAATGTTGTTATGAACAGATGACGTCCCAGCCTCAAAGACCAGTTAATCAGCTACAGGTACCTTTAATTTGGGGTTTCTGAATTAGGGTAATGTGCTCTGCCTCCGCTCTTGTGTTTATCCCGTGACAATATATAACAAAAAACCTTTACGCTGCTCATCATGAAAATTACCATGCCTTAGTGTCTCAGGTCATCAGGGAATATAAGCACAGGCTGACCCTTTGCTCAATCTGGGTCATTACTGAGAGAGCAGGAGAATTATAGGCCGCTCATTTCCATCCATATGGCATGATGAAGCTCAGTTGCAGGCATACAGATCAGGCTGAATTTAGCCTGCATCTAGTGCAATGGCTTACGTAAAGAATTCTATTTAGTTTGGAAATTGAGCAGGTGAAAACACAATCTGCCTCACACAATCATCATGACTTTGACTGCTCTGCCCTGCCCAGCACAAAATATATATGTCTTAACAAATGAAAGAAGACTGCTTTGCTATTGATTTCTATTTCGTTGAGCTACTTGGATGCCTAAAAGCATGCAAGCTTCAATAAGATCTGTCTCTAATTGAAGTGCTCCTAGCATCAATTTCCTGAGTTGATTTGCAGGTATTTCAGAAGGACCAATTTCCAGCCTTATCTCTCAGGATACTTCCAGGGGGCAGAAATACTCTTTTCTTATCTAGACATTTGTTTTCATTAACTTCATGGAAACAGAATAAACTATGAAAGTCTAATGTCAAAAGTGCTCGGCAATCTGGCTTGAAAAGCACAAAGAATCAGAGGAAAGACACACACAGCATACATTTTGCACAGGAAATCGCAACATACATACAGACAAGAATTGCCCATATTTGATATTCTTTTGTTTCTGGGAAGAAAACCAGATCAAATAACGTCTTGCATCCCAAGGAACTCGGACTGGTTATGTAAGTGACCCTCATTCCCACAGTCTTTCCAACAATACCTTGATCTTTTCCTTGCTGCCACCTTCCTGAGAACATGTGTTATTTGCCATTAGGTTACACTGGTCTGTTTTCTGTACTCCGACAGCTTAATGCTGTGCATCATGAATTCATTTGCAGCTAGTTGGGGTACACTTCAGCCGCTATGGATGATTAGAATACAAACATACTCAAAGTCTTAAGCACAGTTTTAAAGCAAGCATAACTACTGAATGCTAAAGTGAATGTCCTTCTAGGTGGGGGCTGCCAATCAGATGTGTTATGCCTCGCTTGATCACAGTGTGAAGGGAAAACGCAGAAAACCGAGGAGAAAGACAGACCCTTCCTTAGAAGAGGGTGAAGAAAGATCGTCTAACCACACCACGATGGCTTCCAAAGTCAGCATTTACCTCAATAGTGAGCAGCTGGCTGCTGAAGACCCAGCAAAAGCAGAAGCCATTCATGATGACCCCATTCGATTAATGGGTTTAATTCATACTGCAAAAGGAGAGAACGTTTGAATTGCCTTCACGAACCAAATACGCAATCAGAAATTGAGATCTGCTTGTTCAGTCTGAGGGGACAGTGAATCACTGGAGATAATATTCTGGCAAACAGACATACCAAAAAATGGTATAAAGCGGGTAAGTTAAGTGTTCCCAAAGTGTCTTCCGAGCATATTTACAGCCTAAGCAAGAAATAAATGTAGATCCAGTCTGTGAATTTGAAAGACCTGGAGACATTTTAAAAGGCAGTTCGTTGTAGAAGTTGGTATCTCAGCATTCACATGGGACTGATTCCAGTGAAAATTAATCAGCGAATATTTGGGGTTGCAAAGGACTCTTGGAGATCATCTTGTCCAACCCCTCTCCCAAGGCAAGGCCACCTAGAATCCTTAGTTTAAAACAACTATCAAGTTTCAGACAGTCCCCAAAGACCCCCTCTATTTTCTGTAGCGCTTTGACAGAGCCTAACGTCTCTTCCAGAACGGTTTCAGCAATACTTTTGGCAGGAATCCATGTTTCATACTTGCACACCTCATGATTTAGTTGTTTTTCCCAATTAAAAACTGATCTGCTGTTCAACACTCTCTACTTTCCCACTGTGACCAGTCTGTGGTAGCAACACAGTATATCTAAAGAGAATTGCAGAATAATTTAACAGCTTGTTTAAAGTCACAGCTGCCCATCTTGCAAGATTTAACAATATCCCTACCTTTAGTTTCCTTCTGTGAGCAATACCAGGATACATCTCAACTCACAGCTCCTCCACTAACGTAACGTTGTATCCAGCTGCATTCAAGAGTCCACAAAGACATTAGTAAATGATCTGTAACAATAAATCTCTTAGACAGGATTTTTTTTCCTTCTGATATCCTATGTGATGTCTACATTGCTATTGGGTTTTACATTGCCGTTGTTCCCACCTATTTTGCAAAAGTCGAAAGAGCCTTTTATTTCCCCAAATAATTCACATACTGTGTGAACATTCATCTTAAGACTCGTCAGATGATAAGCTTTGATGGAGTGGGGGTTTGCTTCTATATTCTGGGAGCCATTAATTAGGAATAGCAGCAGGAAACAGCAAGGCATCCTGATGCAGCGTGCCTACCTCTAGGTGTCACAGTTAGTCCTTCTCAACAAAAGGATTCGTGCCTTTAAAACCTAGGCAGGGCACAGTGTCAAGGAGCTTCAAACTCTCGAGGACATATAGAGAATCATAGAACCATAGAGCAGTTAGGGTTGGAAAGGACCTTAAGATGATCCAGTTCCAACCCCCCTGCCATGGGCAGGGACACCTCACACTAAACTATGGCACCCAAGGCCTCGTCCAACCTGGTCTTGAACACCGCCAGGGAGAAGCCTGCAAGTGTCTCAGGCCTTGAAGGAGATAGCCCTGAAAGCAGTTACGTGAAACAAACCAAAAAGCCCATAGTACAAAGAGCCAACAGCTCTTCTAAGAGCAGAAGAGAACGGATTCATCCAGAACTGGGACAAATTTATGAAGAAAAAAAAAAAGATCAACATAAAAGAAACAGGCACGTCTATGCTTGACCAAAAGGAAGGGCCAACCCCTGCAGCCCAAGCTGCCCAGCAGCACCACCCGTCTTGTGCAAGCCCTTGCTTTTGTGTGCAAAAGTCAAGTCAATACACACTTGGGCTGTCACACCCCAGAAACAAGGTAGACTAGGAACTGAAGTGATTCTTTATCAACCAAGCACCCCTGGATAAGCAAAAATAATGCCAAAGAATCAATTAAACCCATTTTAATGGAGAACCATATAAAACGACAATCCTGACTAAGATCCTGAGCGGGGAAAGGAGGAAGGCAAAGCCAAAGATCCAAAGCTAAACACTAAGATACCAGTACATAAAGGACTAACTTAGTTTTACTAGACTGGAAGGAATTATACTTCATGTTACAGTAGGAACAAAATGTTAATATACATCACCATGAACTTGCTTAGACTCACATATCAAAATTATTTGAACAGTATTAAAATATATTTCATATAAAACAGTGCAATTTAGCTGGCACCAAGCAGATGCAATACTCAGCCCTCTGAGACAATTGAGAGCTTTCTTAATCTCTCAAGCAAATAGCCCAGGCCCGAGTCCTTTGTCACTGTTTTCCAGCATACAAAACAAGGAATGCTGCATCTGCAATATAAATTGTGCATGTTTTGTACAAAAGTTGCTATTTCCCAGCTCTCTCACAGGATTTGCACTCTTGATTATGCCTTTCCTTTAAGGGTTCCAAAGTCAAAGAACTGAGTTAGCCAAATTCAACCTGCCATGTCAGCCTTATCATTAATTTAAGGGAAATGGAGTACACCCTTCTCTCATTGAATGTACATGGAACAATAAGGCCACTTCACGAGATTCAGGTACATCTAGTTTCCTTTATTCTTGGCCTTCATTATTTAGTCCTGCTATTTATTTAGGCCAGTTTTCAGCCAGTGCTTTCCCTTGCAACATAGGCTGCTAAAAGAGCAGGGCACTTCTGTAAATATTCTCCATCATATACTTCCTTTCAATATTTAATCACTGCCTCCATTCAGTTCTTCACTGCTGCCCTCACAGACCCCACTTCAGGATCATCTTTAATGGCCTACCAGCTGTTTCCAAGGCATTTCTAATGCTGCTGCAGGCCAGATTTACCTTTATTCCTCCAGCTCTTTACCCTCTGTCTACCTGAATAAGCAACCGAAAGACCTACCTTTATTTTCTAATGACTTTTGGAATGGGTCTCAAATGACTACTGAAATTGTACATGGAACATTGCTCCATCTTCAAGCCAGGAGAGAAAGATCTACCTAAATGATCATATATTAATTAAATTATTTACATATAAAGTACAACTAATTACAACAAAATAAGTAAAGGAGATGCTAGCCCTTTGTTTATGCTACCTCAGTAACTTAACCCATTTTTCCAGTATTCCTCACAATTTTGAAGCAGAGGGAAGCAGCACGAGGCTGGTTTTATTAACAGTAAACTTAGCATTCAGATATCAGTTCAACAAAACAGCAAAGGAAGAGTAACCAAGGAAATAGGGTGGAAGGAGCAAATATGATTGGAAGGGAAGAAGAATGGAGCTAAAAATAGGAGAGACACCAAGTAGTACCATGAAATATCTGTAAGTGTAGGAAGGTATAATCCAGGAATCATACACCTGCAGTGATGCTCAGATGCTATCTGTTTAAAGAGCATTGTTAGGAAAAGCAACACAGGCTTCTGTTTGCATCACACTTTTAAGAGTCTGCTGACTCAAATGGATGTTGGAGAATCAAATTCTAAAAGCAATTGTGTAACTTAATCCCAATTTTTGCTACTGCTGGCACCAAAAAGGTGGCATTGGGATGAGCTTATGTTCCAACGACTTAAGAGAAATACTTCCTAAAACTCTTTCAAAGTAATTGTCAGGGAGACAATTGCTATGTTGTCTGAATAAACTTACCTTCCTAGGTGGGTTAGCCTGCATTCAGGCGGCTGTGTAGAAGTCATACCCAGAATCGGAACATGTCCAAAACCCAAGTCCGGTTTACCTTTAAGTTACTTGAGGACAGAAAACATGAATGGAGTTATGTAATCTCTCAGTACTGAAATAAAGAGAAATAGTGTGAAATAATTACCTCAACAAATCCGAGGGGAAGGTAGTTCATAAAGCATGTTCCCTACAGTGCATCCATGTCTGAAACAGGAAGAAAAATGAGCCACAAATGCATTTCTATAAGACAATCTTTTGTTGCTGTTGATGGACATATGCAAATGACAAGGGATAGAATGTGTGTCACTCTGTGTGTGCATTGCAGAAGGCCTTGTCTTACCACACAGTAAACCCCACTGAAGCTGGCTTCTTGTTCCATTCAAGAATAACCCGTAAGAGAACAAGATCTTGGTTTTAAGAGCTAAAATAGAGCACTCCTGTGTGCCCAGAAAGTAAAACCAAAGGAGAATGCTTTTTATCTTCCCTGGAGCTCAGAAAGCTGACAAGGGGCCATGCTGATCATGCAGAATGTCCTTGACTTGACGCCACTAAACAATCTCCTTGCTAAGAAGGAACACAGCGATGACAACCTGTGGGACCCTGCCGCATCATTTTCATGTATACGCTGTAGGTATACAAACTCCTCCTGAGAATTCACATACCTGAAATAAAGCACTGAAAGCAGGTATTGGTTCAGAATAGGTTTTTATTTTGAAAATGTCATTTGTATCACATACAGTTCTGTCACACCACCAAATAACTATCAAATCCACTAGAAAAGATAAAATTATATTTACCAATCAAATCAGGTGAGTTACTTAGAAAACGTAACACTAAAAATACATAGCAGGCATACTATAAATCACAGAGTATAATACTGCATTTGGATCATCCAAGCCCAGTTTAGAAGTTATTTAGTATCGATGCATCCCACAAAGCACAAATAGGCAGAAATTTGGCAGAAAGAGCTGGTTACGAGTATGTTAAGAATCAAAGCTTATTAGCAGATAAAAGCTAATACTGATTATAGTCTATTATTAAAAACATCAGTAAATACATAATTTAAACTTAGCTATGGAAAGGAACCCTGATTCTCTGGCAATTCCTGAGGAAGCCAAAGGAGTAAGCAGCACCCCATCAGAACGGACAATCCAGTTCCTGAAGATTTTAGTACAGGGAAATAGATTGGGATTAAACATATATAACACAGCCTTTATTCTTGGAAGAAGAAAGAGAACCAAAACAAATGCAAGCTTTATAACATGTTTTATCTGTAGCAGTCCGTGAATGCTCCTTGGTGAGTTTTGACCATGAAGTCGCCCAAGGGACTGCTAGGATTTTGGTCTTTCCCATCAGTGTAGCTTAGTTTTCTGTACACCCTATGGAAAAGATTCATTTAGATAATATAAATAACACAAAAACACTATGCCTTCTGAAACTCCACTGAGCAGAATGAAACTGAAACAAGTCACTGCAGCAAGAGGTCAGAAAATCTTGTCTGCATTCCTATGTGCTTTCAGGTGGACAGGAAAAATGTCATCCTATGTCATTTTAATGTCTTTGTAATGCTACTACATTAACCTAAGTGAAACAAATAGCTACTGAACTTTGAGATCTAATCTTTGAATGTAATCACAAATAGCCAAAAGTGAAAGACGAGTCAGAATAATATTGTTTTCTTGCATAGAATTTAATAAATATAAATTAACATCTATTTTAAACTATTTCGGTTTACATCTGGCAATTAAGTATAGCAGCATGGCTGCAGGACAGCATTCACACAGAGCTGAAGGAAACTTCATTACTTATTTCCTTTTCTGAAATCTCTTTCATAATCATCATAAAGGCAATCAAGTTCCAGACAGGAAGATGATACTCCATTTCTTTCCACAGCCACTCATTACAACATAGAGCATTTTGCCACATGGCTTAGGCATAGAACTTCCGAGGGCTCTGAAGCCGCTAAAGAAAAGCTTCACTCCTGGGAATCATTGAAGGCTAAGAATATCACACTATAGATCTAAGGAAGCTTGCCAGCTGAAGTCCATTTTGGCTACAAATCAGCGAACATGCATTTATGTAAGCAAGGAACAAAGAAATAGATTTTATTCCAGATGGCTTGACGAGAAAGCATTCTGAAATCCTGATTTTCTACTCTTTCTTAAACTTCTCTACTTATGTGCATTAAGGAAAGGAAAATCTTTTCCTTCAGAGCAATTACTAATCTCGTGGAGATTGCTATTTTCTATGGAGTCAGGAAAAAGAAGAAGAAAAAAAAGTAGTAATCCAAGAACTAAGCAGAAATTTACTCATCTAAGTGGGCATACTCAACATCACAGAAACAGCCATGTATCATCAACAGCTTGACTTCAACCTTGTGATATCACAAATAACTGAATACAATATTTATCAATACTGTTATGTATTTATATAGAAGATTAAGTTTGAATTCCAGCTCTGCTTAAATTGAAACTTTTCTTTAAATCATGCAGCTTCTTTTCCAGTTCGCTTCTCCACAGAAGGAGTTTAAAAATGCATTCAGGCTGCATTTGAAGTTTTAATTCCAGCATCTCAAGCATAACATAGAATCATAGAACAGTTAGGGCTGGAAAGGACCTTAAGGTCATCCATTTCCATCCCCCCTGCCATAGGCAGGGACACCTCACACTAAACCATGGCACCCAAGGCTCTTTCCAACCTGGCCTTGAACACTGCCAGGGATGGAGCATTCACAACCTCCCTGGGCAACCCATTCCAGTGCCTCACCACCCTCACAGGAAAGAACTTCTTTCTTGCATCCAATCTACATTTCCCCTGTTTAAGTTTTAACCCATTACCCCTTGTCCTGTCACTACAGTCCCTAATGAAGAGTCCCTCCTCAGCGTCTTTATAGGCCCCCTTCAGATACTGGAAGGCCGCTATGAGGTCTCCACGCAGCCTTCTCTTCTCCAGGCTGAACAGCCCCAACTTCCTCAGCCTGTCTCCATACAGGAGGTGCTCCAGTGCCCTGATCATCCTCGTGGCCCTTCTCTGGATGTGCTCCAACAGTTCCATGTCCTTTTCATGTTGAGGACACCAGAACTGCACACAATGCTCCAGGTGAGGTCTCACCAGAGCAGAGCAGAGCGGCAGGATCACCTCCTTCAACCTGCTGGTCACGCTCCTTTGGATGCAGCCCGGGATACGGTTGCTTTCTGGGCTGCAAGCGCACACTGAAGCTGCCTCATGTTCAGTTTCTCATTGACCAACACCCCCAAGTCCTTCTCCGCAGGGCTGCTCTGAATCTCTTCTCTGCCCAACCCGTAGCTGTGCCTGGGATTGCTCCCACCCAGGTGTAGGACCTTGCACTTGGCATGGTTAAACTTCATGAGGTTGGCATCAGCCCACCTCACAAGCGTGTCGAGGTCCCTCTGGATGGCATTCCTTCCCTCCAGCTATCAACCGAACCACACAGCTCGGTGTCATCGGCAAACTTGCTGAGGGCACACTCAATCCCACTGTCCATGTCACTGACAAAGATGTTGAACAAGACCGGTCCCAGCACTGACCCCTGAGGGACCCCACTCGTTACTGGTCTCCAGCCGGACATTGAGCCATTGACCACAACTCTTTGTGTGCAGCCATCCAGCCAGTTCTTTATCCACCGAGTGGTCCATCTGTCAAAGTGATGTCTCTCCGATTTAGAGACAAGGATCTCATGTGGGAAACATGACTGAGTTTGGGAAGGCAGCATATCTTGTGGTGCCAGATTAGACATTTTGGCAGAGAGCATGCAAAGTGTTTTGGAAAATAAAATGAGAACATGTTTAGAGAGCTTTCACTGTTTTTTTTTAATCCTGGTGTGTATTAAATTGGCTTGTAATTAAAAATAAAAGAGATCTGGAACTTGAGAATGCTTTAAAAGTCACTTATTTTCTAAGAAAAAGCAGATGTAGTAGGCCAGTGTCCAGGAAGCTGGAAGGAGTGTTATCCTTGCAGGAATCTAAATACACTGCCAGAAATGGTAACAGCAGGAGGAGAGGATCTTGATTATCTTCCAAACAGAGCCACTGTTTGTCTACACAGAACCATAATGCAGGTAAACTATGCTCAATGCACAGAAGCTAACTTTTGAAAGCTGGGTGCTTTTTTTTGCTATATACTGTACTTCCCACATCCCAAGCATCTGAGAAGACTTGTTAGCTCAAACACAGAGCTACAATCAAAACAATTCTATAGTTATAGCTAAAATGATAAATACCTTTCTAGTGAACACAAAATAAGGACTAGAGTAGGCATTCAGTTAGGCCATCTTACTACATGTGTTCGCTGGCCATCCATGCTGAAGGCTGGCTAGGTTTTTCCCACGGACCATTACCTTTCAGGGTTCAAATTCAATCCAGGTTTGATTAGCTTGGGCTCTCCCAAGCATCCAGGCTGATTTTCATTCTAGAAGTATGCGTGTAAGCTACAACCTCCATACCTTTAGCACAGACACAGAGCAGCAAGAATAGCTTCTGAATTCCACCCCCCCCCCCCAAAAGGGGCTTACCTTTCATGATGCTTTGATGCATTTCTGGGAGAGCTGCAATTCTTCATTGCTCCAGGCCAGCCAGAGCAGACATCTGCAATCCCAGATTCTGGTGATGGAAAAGCAGTAGCATGAAGAGGGCAAGAACAACACTGACTAACACAGGCACTACACTATGTTGTTAAAAGATTAGCCTCCTAAGGCATGGTAATACTTCACTAGCATACTTCAATGATCAACTTTTCTCATGAAAATATTCTAATGTAAAAATTAATTTCAAATACATTTTATACATTGACTACATTGAAGTGTAAACTAGGTTTCTAAATACTTATAATTTATCACCATTAGAAAAAGGTAGAAAGAGAAGAAACAATGCTGAGTCCAGAAAAAGATGTAATACATAAAGTACGAGTTCAAAGTTGAGGAAGGCAAATTAAGACAGTCCACCTCAATCAAATTCTTTACAGTTAATCAGTAATGAAAATGTACAATGCAAGAACCATGCAAAACAGTGCATTCCTTCTGCCATTTTCTTCTTGTATACCAGCTGACAATATTTCAAGTCACCTTCCTCAGTATTTTCAATTCCATATTAGTTGTTTTCTTGATGATAAGGTTCATAAAATACGGAAACATTAGTGATTTTACTTAGAAGAAAAAAAAAAGTTCAGGTTGTGTTATAGACATGCTTTAACCAAAATCAGATTTTTCAAAGGAAATTAAAAGAGTGAGATCTAAAATTTCAAATTAATGTAGGATGGGTTTTTTTAAATTTCTTTTAATAATACAATGCTACTATCCTGAATTGGCAAAGGTCTATTTATCCAGATTAATTCACCTAAGCAAGTGACAGACATCATGCAACAACACAACAGCAAGCTGCTGTAAAGCTGAAGAACCCAAACAAAAGCCTTTGGTTATTAAAGTGTAGGACTAGCAAGCTATGCATTTTGTGCCAACCATTTACATGCAGAAAGTAAAAGCAATAGCAAACTTGAATTTAAAAAAGGAAGAGAAAACCAGCTGATAATAGCAACACCTATTTCTTTAGTAGAAAAAGTCCTGGCTAACCCAGAGAAAAGCTTTTTAAACAGCTGTTACCATGCTATGCAGGAAACCCTTTTTGGTATAGATTCTATACTTTTTGCAACACTTAAACATACTCAACTATTACTAAGGAAAAAAAGCTGTCTCTTAAACAGTGGTCTATCCAGATCTGTAGATTTAGCCTTTGAAGAAGTGCTCATGATTGCTAAAGTAGCAATTCATAAAGTTTCTGAAACGAACCTTGCAGGGAAGTTCCAGGAACGCTGAGAGAGATTTTATCTGAAGAGTCATGAAAGCCAGAGTCCTGAAAATAAAGCATCAACAGATTACATTGATGGAAAAACTCATGTGTTATTTCACAGCTTGCCCCCAAGAAAATAACTGGGAACCTGGTAAGAAGGGCCTGAGTTAACATTTAAATCAACAAGTCTCACGATCCCAACGGAACCCAGTAAAGCTTTGTTTGCCTCATCTTGTCCATCTATAAAATGAACAAAACATCACCATTTCAGAAGGACACCACCTGAATTATAAAGGTCACTGATTGAGATGATTTTAACCAGTGACACAGTCTATTAAAATGCAACAAAATCTCTTAGCCAGCATTTTATGACCATTTTTAAGGTTATTAAATATAGTGAGCTTCCTTACATGATTCAGAACTGATAAGTTGCCTCCCCCAAACACTAAACCTGCAAAAGAACTCTACTGACCGAACAGCACCAGACACGTAGTCACTAAGTTTAAACAGATTCCAGACCTAATCTGTTTTTTTAATAGCTTCTCCAAATATCAGCCAAGAGCGCACAATCATTTATTTATTCAAGTTTTAAAAGGTCCTGAAGTACCTGACTCTGATAGCTGTGACTGTCAAAAAAGCTGGGGCTACCACCATTGTACGTGCTCAAAAAATCCATGCCAACCGTGGGAAGACCGACGTTTTTTCTGTGAGAAACTTGATCTTTTGGGGAAGGAGAATAACGTTCTGGTATATTTTTCAGTCGCTTTCCTGGTGAACAAATAAGATCATTTTGAAAGCTTCCTAGCCTTTTAACTCTGGGAATTGCAAGTAAAGTTCGGACGGGGGAGTTCACAAGAGCGTTTACAGTTTCAGACATCTGTATTCCTTCGTATTTCCTTAAATTTGAAGCTCTCTGAAACCCAGGGAGTTTTGGAACAGCCTCCTTACACGACTGCTCATAGATCTCGTCGAATTCTCTGTCGTAGCGCGTATCAAAGCTCACAGAATTCCTTAAATGACTCTTCACTAATCTGCCTTTCTCTTCAAGGTTTTGTGAATTTGAGCGAAGTCTTGTCGACGTCAAAGGCTTTTGGATTGCTGGGGAACACAGTTTGCAGTACAGTTTCTCAAACGCATCTTCGTATTTCTGAGGCATGTTTGAAGTGCTCTGCACCGCAGAGAGGGGGGAAAACGAGTGCTTGCGTTGGAAAGAAGTTAGTCTGTCAGAAGTTAGGTTTTCAGGATTTATTAGCAAAGTATTTGATGCTCTTGCGAGGGAACAGTTTGTGACTGGTGTTAAAGTGTTACTGTTGCTATAGGAACTGCAAGTAGACCAACGCAGCCCTAAGGTATTACCATCAGGGAAGTCGGGTTTTTGAGTTTTACTTGCTTTTACCAGCTGAAGTGCCGTTGACCCTGAACTGGCTGTAGATGTTATAAAATGATGTTCCAAGGAACATTTGCATGCTGATTTTTCACCTTCTTTGCATTTTGAATTCTTCACTATGACAGTAGTCTCTTCAACTAGAAAGGTCTCTCCCATTCTAGCCATAACATTAGGCAAATGGGCCTGTTCAGAAACTGTCTGCCCTTTTACAGGCACCAAATGGTGTTCTAAACATGTTTCAGAGTTGCCTGCTTTGACTGCATTTGTATCAATGTGAGAATAAGGTACCAGACCTGAGAAATTCTTATTGGAACACTCGTCATCAGGGAGTTCTCCATTCTCATTTTCGTAAGTTTGATTCTGGATGTCTTCAATGCTATCGCTGCATATGTTGGATTGTGCTTGCTTCAGATTAAGAGGCTTGAACCCTCTTATTTTGCCTACAGTGGCAGTGAGCTTTGGTCTTCTAGAATGCCATCTTTTGCGCCTGAAGCATCTAAACACATATTTTAACTCTTTTCTCCGAGACTCCTTTGTCATAAGCCTTGTAAGTATCTTTACCATTGCTGGATACAAGTCAGCGAGAGTTACATTGCTCCAGGAGCATGTCTCATCTGCAGACTGATACTCCTCTAAGGCACTATCCCAGCAACTTCTATTCAGCTCTGGAGAAGGTGGATCCCTGGGTATGGTTACTGTATTTGTTGAAATGGGAACACTAGAAAAGTGTAACCGTAGAGATCTGGAAGGACATTCATTCCAAAACTCTCCTTTATTTCTGTGAACAGCAGCTTGGTTGCCTACTCAAAAAACAAAACAAAAACACAAATGAATCACAAAAGAAAGCAGAAGAAGGAAAAAACCCACAAACCCATTAGGGCACTTCCAGTAACGCATTACATGATTTAGGAATGACTGCATACGGTATGGGTAGTCTTATTGTAATAGCATATTTCACTGAGCATTTTTGCCAGGCTAAGTGAATGATTAACATACAGTCTATTCTCAAAAAATTAAAAGGTTTTCTCTAGCTATATTGAATTAACAGATTACACAAGGCAGAAGTGAAATGTGTTGGAAAACACTATTAAATAAATTAGCCTAATATATAGATATAAAACATTTTCATTATAGAGGCAGACTGCTTTGCTCTTTGTGGATCTCTGAGCAGGAGGAATGGCCTTATCCTGCAGGTTTTGTTGCTCTATTTCCATATTACTTCAAATCTATGTACTTGGCTAGTACCAGTGCAGCTTTACATGCCACAAAGCATGATGAAGACAACGCTTTTTGTAGTTGTTGGGCTTAAAAACATCTACACCAAAATTCTATCATAGGATTGCATCATGTCTGGAGAACCTCTGACGAAAGTTTACTAGCAAAGTCCCACTTTGAGGACCAGTTACCAGCAGACCCAAAGCCATTAAATTTATGTTCCTTGCATTTAAAATGAGCAGGAGCAAAAAGTTAATTTTATCTCATTGAGCTTAATGCTGCTGAATTTTGTAGCTATGCATTTTTTTCCTAAGTTCTTTTTATGTATAAAAGCTATTTAGTTGCTAATTTTCAAATAGATTTTGCATAAACAAAATCATGTCTAACTTCTCTTCAAGAATTCAGCCTGTTGAACTTTTCTGTTGGCTAAGCAGTGCCTCTGGGTTTCCATATTTCTTTCTAATAAATTTTAAGGAAAACACATTTCATAACTAACATATTTGACTAACATCCAAAAGATTTGGTTGTACCGATCAGTTTTCGCACTGGTGAAGCTGAAGGAAGCCCTTTCAATGAGCCTTCAGGTGCTACCTGAAAACCAAAGAAACAAGAGACACATAATCTAATATCCTGATTTTTTGCATATTAAAAGTAACATCAAAGTCTTATTTTTGACTCCTCCTACTCTCTCCTTACTATATTAGATCCTGTACAGAGTTATGGTTCTAAGGGATTTTGTTAATTTTAGACAAGGGGGAAAAAGTCTAGTCTAAGATTTCAGTAAGAATTGTTGTCACTTGTTTAATCTTAGAAAGCTAGTTATCACCTTGATAACTTCCATGTTATGTATTATACTTTAATCATAGAACAGTTAGGGCTGGAAAGGACCTTAAGATCATCCAGTTCCAACACCCCTGCCATGAGCAGGGGCACCTCCCACTAGACCATATCACTCAAGGCCCTGTCCAACCTGGCCTTGAACACTACCAATCCCTTTCCCAAATAACATAATTTACACATGGATATATACACCTGGATAATCTATACATCTCTGGCAACTCCAGTAGGAAACAAAAGCCATTCCATGTAACACAACCCTTTGCCTCCAATTCCCTTGACCCCTCAAAACCAAAATAAAGCTAAACCACCAATTTTCTCTTCAAACCTCAAATTTAGACTTCAGAAAACTTACTGAAGGTCAACTCAAACATCAGGGTTCAAAGAACAAAGCATAAATTAAAGAAAAAAACCTTGGTATAATCTGTTTCTTACAAACCATTGCAGTCAGAGACCTGAGATACTGCGATATTTATGTAGACAGCAAGCAGGAGAGGAACAATGAAACACCAGCGAGGTTGTATTAGAATTCATTATGCTGCAGTTAGAGTTCTTATTTTATTCTAGTTAGCTAATAACAGGAGAAATATGTTACCGCAATCCATCTGGGAATATTTCTAGCATTATCTTGTACTATCACATCCACTTGAACTTTTACTTTCTCTTGCTTTTTCCCATCATCTACATGTGAATTCTGAAAGGGAAAGAAAAAAAAAGAAAAAGGGAATTAATTAAAACACATAAAAGTTACTAACACTGACAAAAATATTACTTAGGTCTGTTTCAAGCCAGTGTTATTCAGATGAGGATATCCAACCAGCATAAACTTGTTTTCAATGTACACATTTTATGCGTACATTAGGTGGGGAAAAATGTGTACATTATATGTACATTTTATGTGGGGGAAAAATCCTCCAAACAACTGTGAAGGAACTGTATGTGAAGACATATAAAAGAGATAACTGACTAGTTTACTGGTGCAGGCAAAAGCGCACAGTGCCTCAGAAGACGTGATAAAAGCAAAACCAAGAAAAGGAAAAGAACTCTAGTGTTAGGTTACAAAGCACTGGTGATAAGGGCTGAAAATCTTTACACGTATTATTGACACCCATGACTTCATGTACAAATCAAAAGCTACTCTGTGACGCACCTTTATGTAAAATCTAAAAGCATTGGGTGATAAACGGCAAACGTTTCTCATTAGCAAAACTCCCACTCTCTGAAGAGGTCTGTATTAGCTGTTGTCAAAGATAGCACAATACCTAGTACTATGCTAAGCAAATAAGGAAAGTAAATTACCTTTTTGGTGGTCTGTATTTGAGAAAGAACAACACAGTTTTGGAATGGCCATGCACACAAAGCATGCGTTGGATTTTTCTTCATCAATGCAACTATTTCAGGTAGCCCTGCTACCCACTGACTAGTAAGGGAAACTGCAGCAGAAGATGCCAGTCTGCTTTTGTTATGGTAGCCATTATTTCAGATTTACAGGTTTTTTAAACCATGTTACCTCTTTAAACTGGACTCTCAGGTGAATGATCATATTTTCTGTAAGTGTTTTCACTTGGTGGTTCATCTGATTATTCCTTTTCTATACCTGCAATAGCCTTCCTCAGGATTACCTGTTCTATGCAATATGTTGCACTGCTTTCTCCGATATACTGATAATACCAAGACATAATATTACTTCATATTGGTCTTCATGATGTTATTTATTGACTCTCTCATTTGCTATACTTACTAAAAACATGCATTGAGATGCAGACTACACAGAGCATTCTGCTGACTGGCACATGTAAGGTACTCAAATAGCTCAATCATTTCTATTGAACATAAAATTACTGTGTCCCATTACACACCAGATATTTTTACCTGGAAGTGAATGTCTTCAAATTTTCTTCTTACTGAAACTATCTCAGCATCACTTTCTTCACCTATAATTTGAAGATAAATAATAAATCCAGTTGAACTCAAAATCAAAACAGAAACGTTTTTAAACACACCCTGTATAACTTACTGACTAAATTGGTTTAATGTTAGAAAACTTTTATCTGGACTACATTTCAAGTCCAATTGAAAACCACGGTTAATTAAGGGTTCAAGAAGAGGGAAGATAACTTGTTTGTAACCAGCTCTTCAAGATTCATGCTAACCATTTTGGAGAGTAAAATATTTACAAAGCATTGCTCTGCAGGATTCATTAATGCATGCATTTCCTCTCATTTCCCACTACTGCTTTAGAACTGCCAAGGTGAGAAATAAGACAGGGTTGAAAAAGGTTAGAAAGCAAATTCAAATCTTCCAACTCAATTTTTAGGTGTTCTATGGGTATTTTCATGAATGAAATGCAGCAAACCATCCAACGCATCACTAGCTAAAGCCTTAGCCTTTCAGGATCATAAAACACATGACTGCATTGTAAGACTGCAATTCTGAATTTTCCTGGCTGTTTTATCTTTATTCCACAACTGTGTTCACTGCAGGGAAGGAAAGAGCAACGCTGAAAAGGAAACACTGAGTAAAAATAATCTTGGTTATGATATCTACCACATCATTGCCTCTTCAACACTATCCTTAAATTACTAAAATCAGAATAAAAATTTTTCCAGCTAATCCCATCTTCCTTTTTCTTTTCCTATCAGTGTGATCATCATCTAGAGCTCTGCAGACAGCTGCTGCCATAGCACTAGGACAAAGATACATACGAAAGCAATGCTATTATCTCTTTGTGGGAGACAAGTTCACATCTTCCAGTGAAAATGTTGAGCAACCAGAGGGTTGCCTCTGACAGTCTACATGACCCCAGTAGAATTATTATAACTGAATCCAACACTTGTCAGATTACCACAGTTTCTTCCCACAAGACTAATGGAAATCATGGTCACTTTACCCACAGGAAATCAGCTACTAAACATCAATAGTTGATGAAGCAGTAAGGTTAATCATAGAATCAGCCATGCCTTTAAGATCATCAGGTCCAACCCTTACCCCAGGACTGCCAAGTCCATCGCTAAACCATGTCATTAACGGCCTCAATTACATGTTTTTTGAACACTTTCAGGGATGTGATTCCACCACATCCATGGGCAGCCTGTTCCAATGTCTGAGCATCCTTTCAGAGAAGAAATTTTTCCTAATATACAGTCTAAACCTCCCCTGACACAGCTTGAGGTTGTTACCTTTTGTCCTATCGCTTGTTACTTGGTAAAAGAGAGCAGCCACCTCCTCTCTCCCTCCTCCTTTCAGGTAGTTGTAGAGTGATATGGCTCCCCTGAGTCTTCTCTTCTTCAGAACCCCATTTACCTCAGCCATTCCTCATCGGACTCATTGCCCTTCTCTGAACCTGCTCCAGCAACTCAATCTCTCTCTTACAGCGAAGGGCCCAGAACTGAACACAGCATTTGAGGTGTGGCCTCACTAGTGCCAAGTACAGGGGGATGATCACTGTCCTAGCCCTGCTAGCCACGCTATTTCTGATACAGGCCAGGATGTCACTGGCCTTCTCGGCTGCCTGGGCACAAGCTGGCTCATGTTCAGTGGCTGCCAGTCAGCACCCCCAGGGCAGACCAATACTTTATTTGTACCTGCTGTTAACAGGCTTTGCATACTTTTGGAACAAAAACAATGTATAATAGCTGGAAGAAACACTGCCTTCACCAAGACGTGCAAAGCACTCTACATGAATACTAAAGATGGAAAATCTGCCAGAGCTAAAGTTTCAGCACTCACTGAGGCTGCTATAAATCCTCTCCAGTCTCTTCCTAGAACATTCAGAAGAGAAGGAGGAATGGATAATCATATTCTTGTATTCTGCTATGCAGCCACCACAGCCTGAACTGCATCACTCATTTATCCCATGAGTGCAGAAGACACAAAGGGCACTTTGAGAAGCCGAGCTACAGATGCCACTGAAATTTGTTTCCCATCCTCTCAAAGGAAAGGAGGATAAGTTTCAGATTGCTGTTTTCCCCTCAACAGAGGGGAAATCATCTGCCTTAGAGACAGCTATGCAAACGAAGCACCTGACATATACCAAAGTATTTAAACACCAGTTAACCATATTTTGCTGTAACTGCCCTTTAAATCATTAAATGCTGGTTACCACCTAGCCATAGTTCAATTGATGCAAAACAGTAAGTTTTTATATGCACAAGAATAAAAAGGTTTTGAGTAATACAGGTTTTAAATATTTAAACAACAGTCCTTCAAAGATTGTTACTACTGATTAACACAATAAAATAATTATTTTGGAGTACAAGAACAAAACCACCCAAAACTTTGCAGACAGGGCACAAAACTGAGGTTGAAACTGTTACAAACACTACTGAAGACTTACTGTTACAGGACAAGATGAATGCAATGTTTGTGTCTAACAAACCACTAGAAATTATCGTATATATGTAATTGTAAATCACATTGTAACATTACAACATTGTATTGTAATTGCATATATTGTAATCATTAATAAAATTTCTATGGCAACTTACACCAAAGTTTTACTGTTCCTTTCTTTATTAAGAAAATGCAATTGAACATATTCCATGCTGACTTCCCAACATAACAGGGATTCAGGACTGAGGTTTTGAAGAGTAACAGGGATATTGATTTCATACTACAGTATTACCAGTAACTGAGTCTCTGGCTGTTCCTATTCTCTACTTTCTGAAAGGGTACAGATCACTTAAAATTATTTTTACTATATTAGAGAATTATGGAAAAGTTATCAAAAGGAACATGACCAGCAGGTCGAAGGAGGTGATCCTGCCCCTCTGCTCTTGTGAGACCTCACATGGAGCATTGTGAGCCGCTCTGGTGTCCTCAACATAAAGAGGACATGGAGCTGTTGGAACAAGTCCAGAGAAGGGCCACGAGGATGATCAGGGGACTGGAGCACCTCCCGTATGAAGACAGGCTGAGGAAGTTGGGGCTGTTCAGCCTGGAGAAGAGAAGGCTGCATGGAGACCTCATAGCAGCTTCCAGTATCTGAAGGGGGCCTATAGGGATGCTGGGGAGGGACTCTTCATTAGGGACTGTAGTGACAGGACAAGGGGTAACGGGTTCAAACTTAAACAGGGGAAGTTTAGATTGGATATAAGGAAGAAGTTCTTTCCTGTGAGGGTGGTGAGGCACTGGAATGGGTTGCCCAGGGAGGTTGTGAATGCTCCATCCCTGGTGGTGTTCAAGGCCAGGTTCGAAAGAGCCTTGGGTGACATGATTGAGTGGGAGGTGTCGCTGCCTATGGCACGGGGTTGGAACTGGATGATCTTAAGGTCCTTTCCAACCCTAACTATTCTGTGATTCTATGATTTGCAATCTTTTTCAAAAACTTAAAAAAAAAAGGTAGACAGAAAGTAAATTAAAAACCCACCTATGTCAGATGCATCCACATGGGAGTTCTCAGGAAATTCCTTAAAAGCACATGAAAGTAATTTTAAGACCTGGTAGCATGAACTGTTTCAACTAGTCCGTCTAATTTTCTGCTCTCACTACTTGTTCAACTTTTTGGGGATGGAGGTGGTAACGAAACAAACCAAGCCATATTCCACAAATTATGTACAAATGACACCATCTTTATTAAGAAATCTGTACACAAATCTGTCTTGATTCATATCTCATTATTCAGTGGGGAAAACTGTTTTCTTCCCAGTCCTTCTATATTCATACAATGCAAGGAGAAGTTACACAAGAGCAAAACTCAGTTGACAGATGAATTCTAACCACCAAACCCTGTACCTACAGATTTTCTCTTATTCATGTTTCCTGAACTGCCCACTTTAACCAATTCTTAATTGCTTACTTCAAACAATCTTAATATAGTATTTCAAATAGGGGTTTTTTGCTCTATTTTGCAGAAGTTGCATAAAGAAGCTCATTTATGTGGATAAGGACATATCTAAATGTTTTCATTCTTTTCTAAATGTTTACAATCTACATCTGACACCATATTCTTCAGAATTCCTTTAAAAGTCTAAATCCCTTCTGGCCCTCACCAACATAAAATTAGTATATTGTGGGTTAAGATGTCATCAATGAAATGAGACAATCCTAACTACCATCTACGTAGAACAAAAAATTAGGAGGGGCCAATGAGAAGGCCTGTATCACTCCTCAAAAGTGATTATTTTCTCCTTGAAAAGATAGGGAGTCAAAACAAACTTGCTCTAGATGATGACAGATTTTTAAAATGAGTAATTTAACAAGTTAGACACACATGCTGCCGGAGGGAAAGGACACTGGACCGTTTAAAGCCTATGCCCAACTCCTTTTGGATAGCTCTCCCTTTATACAGACTTAAAAGATGCCAAAATCCATGGCTGATATGGCTGCTATTCATAATCTAAATAGTACAATGGGGGGGGAGGATATGTAACGATATGAAACATATGCAAACACTAACACATAAACAACATAAATAGAGACATCGTAAAAAAAAGGAAATAAAAATAATTAAAAAATCCATTAATTCACTGTCACAAAATGTATGAGACCACCACATATACAAGGCAAAACTTGAGTTTATCACCATCCCAAAGCACAGAACGTATCAGGGGAGGAAACAATCGGGGGAAGTATAGCAGATGATCAACATTAACCAGAACCTGAAGGTTTTAATTTTAAATGGACACACACTGGGTAAGTAAAGACACATCTTTCCTAAAAGAACGCAACTAGCCTTGGGGAACTACATGAGGGGAAACATAAAGCAGTTGTGAGATATCTAATGTTTGAAGAACTACAGTGAAAGAACTGCATTAAAATACCTTAAGCCCTCTTTTCCCCGAGAAGTACTTACTTAAGGAGAATAAACTGATTCAATTTAGCAATTAGTAGGTCTTTAAAATCTAATTTTATAGCTGTGGTACAGGAACACCTGCTCATGCTCTCTTTTTCTTAGCTTTTGACTACAGAAACACATTTTCCCAAAGAGGCTTTATAAAAGTGGATGCAATGTGGTGCCCATACCTGACGTACTGTTGGATGCTCATCTTCAAAATCACCGGTCTGTTGCTTTGGCATTTCTTAGCACACATGGGAGGAAAAAGATAAGTCTATTTCAATCTGATAGGTCACAGATCAATGCTGTACCTGAACTCATTACTTCATCATTTGTATATACCCTTACCTTGAAAAATATTTAACAAGCATTTAACAAATGTAGTACATAGGACTGAAACAAAGAACAGACAAGCAACAGAACAACATACTAGTCAAATACATCATACTAATTCTGACCAGAGGTGTACATCTACCGTATTACATGTTTGCTTCTTAACCCAGAAAGCACCCCAGAAAATAAAATTTGTCCCTTTATCAAGTGGTATCAATTATAGAAAAAGACTACTGCAAACATTTGGTGTATTTTTCTTGGCATAGGTTGAAACGGACAAGAAAAAGACCAACTACTCCTGAAACCTGAGGGTAGAGCCTAATACCTCTTTTGCATCTTCCTAATGAACTTTGGCATTTGAGGCCTTTTCCAAAAGCGCTATGCCTGTCTTCCAGCACAGCTAGACCCACCTACAATCTTTGTGGGCTGTTTCCCCATTCCCCACCCCTCCTTTATTTCATAAGAAGCAATATAAAGAGAATAAGAGCTGTTAATTTAGCAGACATCTCCCATTTTTACATTGCAATCTATATTTTGTTCATCAGCTGTCACAACTCAAATGGATTTAAATAAAACTCAAAAGCTATTAGACTCACAAAGTAGCTATCTTCAAATAAATGAGACTTCCACAAAGGCTTATTTCACAGTTAGCCTCTAAGCCAGGTATTTTTGCTATTAAATTTACTCAGACCGAAAACTGCTTCCATACTGCTGAAAAAAGTTAACTTTGACAAGGCAACAGTTAGAAATGTATCTGTAACAAGCTACAACCTTTCAAGTTTGGATGAAACCTTGGTTGGATGAAGCCTTGGGTGAGATGGTTTAGTGTGAGGTGTCCCTGCCCATGGCAGGCGGGTTGGAACTGGATGATCTTAAGGTCCTTTCCAACCCTAACTGTTCTATGATTCTAAGTTGGTATACAGTGCATACGATTATGATGTGCACATACAAATTATTTCATAAACCTACTGTTAATACTGCCTAAATTGCAAATATTCAATCTTTCCCAGAAGATCTTTATTTCAAAACACATGACTCTGCTGGTACTAAAGCCGTAGTGGGACTTCTCAAGATCAAATGCACATGATAAACTTCAACTTCAAAAATAAATGTAATACATGTGCTTTAGCAGATATGTTTACCCTAAATTAAGCGAGTTTGTTTAATGACAAATTTGTTGTCCTTGGTTTCTTTCCTGTCTTTCTGTTTCCAGATAAGCTGATGCCAAATGTCACAAATTATTTTGCCTTTTTTTTTGTTGTTAAATTGTGAGAAAACTTCTCTCTTACCTAACTCTATCACATAGGCACTATTTACCTCTATAAACACTTCATATTACTTAATAGCGCCAATCACACATCTAAACATCTCCATTTTTCTAAAGGCTTAAAGTATAAAGAAATCTAAATATCTCATCTACTGCTTCTTCCATTTTAAAGCCGCACCTAACTTACTTCTAGACATCTAACCTATTCTTCAGGGCAACTCCATATTCTCCAAGAAACATATTTCAGGGCTTCCTTACTGTTTGCATTTGGAAGGCTTTTCCAATACTTAACTTAGAAGCTTACTTTTGTTTTTCTCTCCCTCCCCCCTTAAATCCTCTCTCCAGTGGCTCTAGCAATTTTTAATCCACCCTTCTGTGACTCACTCCAGCCAGTGAAGCTGCTATCAAATACAAACCAAAGTACTTCACTTAATTTAACAGTTTTATCACTGTTAAACCTTTTTGGTGCTATGCATACTAAGCACCTGTGCATGTCTTTTAGGGCAGTGAGCACTATTCTTGGTTGGCTCAACCAACCTTCTAAATTGCCTTTTCCTGCATTTAATTATTCCTACTTGTCTATTACATTGAACTTCTCTGCATGGAATTACACAAAGTTTACTTTAAGTTTTAGACCCAATTTAGAAAGATAACCAGATTATCTTTCACAGTGGTCATCCCTACTTGGTATCATCTGCAAGTTAATTAAGAGCATTCCTTACTCTATTTACTTAAGTGAAGTATAAGCTAGTGATTTGCTTGGGAGAAGTCCTGGAAAAACGTCTGTCATGTTTTCCCCTCAACTTGGACACAGACCATTGATAACTATACTGAGCACAGACTTCCAACCAGTAGGAAATTGGGCTATAAAACCACTCTCTCATACAAAGTTAATGAAGGGTATTATACCACTGCAAAGCTCTGGCTTCAGGTTGTAACCTCAGGAAATTTATGTCCAGTGTTTTGCAGAAAACTACAGTAATGCTTCCTTTAGAATATATTAGACCCATCAGCATATATTTTCTAGAAATTAGAGGCAAAGGTATAGATCATATGAATCTTCTTGTATCAGACCCTTATTTCTTGTCTTAACATTTTAATCTAATAGGCTGATACAAAACATATACTTGAACCCTGTATGGAGAAGTTTTTTGGTACTACTCTAAAGGGAGAGAGACAGCATAGGTTGTATTTTGTCCTCAGATGTTCGGCATGAAAGTTTCTCAGACCAATGTCATATGTTAAAACCTTAAGAGAAGAGGGCCCAAAACTTCTTTGCTGTGCTACAAATCATAATTTCCCCCCGTTATTTATCTCAATAAAAACACGTTTTCTATTGAAATATACAGCTTCTTTCCAAAAACAAGGAGAAAAGATTTAGATGTCACATCCTCTAAGTAGGATCAGAATTTCATTTTGTTGTGCAGTCTTGGTTTGACTTCCATCACGATACTTGGTCTTTAATGAAATAACCATACACAACTTCTTCCTCCAGGCAGCCCGATTTATTCAGGATACAGAATAATCTACTAAATTTCTGATAGCTCATCATGTGACTTCATGAGATTCCTTTAACACTTATCTTTTAATATGCCTCCTTAGCTAGTTATTATCAAAAAGATAGCAACTTCCACTATCTCCACTAGTACACCCATGTAAGTCAGGGTTGGAATTCTTAGATTTGACAAACATGGGACAGAACTGACAAATACAACAAAAGCTGTCTAACTGATATAAGGAGATTATTTTAACCATTTTGTGATGATAGCAATATCAATTATAATGTATTTATCTTAAATATTTGAAACTGTTTTTCAAAATCCTTACAAATGTAAGAACTGCTGGGGTTTTGTTGGTTCCCCCACAAAAAAAACACAACAAAACAGCAAGTACCCTAAAGTTTGGCATAAAATCAGGACTGCTTTTATTAAGTGAAGACTCTGGATATGGTAATTTACAACACTTATTCATTAAAAACACTTTACCTGCATTCCTTTGACTTCTTCTACTCCACTGCAATTAGAATTAAGGAGAAAAAAAAGTAAAAAGAATCTTAGACTAGTAAAGTTATTTTAACTGATACCTTTATTTAGTTTAGTACATCTTACAACTAAGCACTTCAAAAATAACCATTCAATTTACTTCAGGTTTCACAACGCCTGGCCAGAAAAGCCACAAATACATGGTAAAACTTACCCTGTCATTCACTTCTTCTCATACCATTGCTGTTAAAATCACTTCAAGAACATAAGCTATAGCTACCTTATCCCACATAAGAGGCTAAGACAGAGAACTCCTCTTACAGTCCTTAAAGATGTAAAGTTATGCAGCAGTGCCTGGTAGATGACACACAAAGTATGAACAGAAGTGGAAAGGGAAACAGACTCCTTTCCGACTCCATTAAATCCACTCTTGCTCCCAAAGACTGACTTTCACTCCTCATCTCCTCACTCTGTGGGGTTCAGAACAGCTTCTGTGTTAAGTGCCAAGACACACTACATGACTTGGCTTTTTAGACAGATACTAGGAATGTAGCAGCAAGGAGAATTTTGATAGTTACATGAGAAACACAGAGATTTTGACACAGTTCACTGCCGAGTGTTTATGGTGAAATTTAGGAAATAGAAAAAGAAAATACTGCTTGTTTAATATAAATACTCAGAAGAAAAAAATACAGCTAATATGCCCACAGCAGCAATGGCTTTAGACTGGCACAAACAGCGAGTACTTTGGCTGCAAAGATACTTTAATTACTCTAGCATTATTTTATGGAAAAGAAGTCTAAAGATTAAACTAGTAAGCCTTCAGAATTGAAAAGCTGATTACCTGAACCTACATAAATGGATTCAGTGCATGTTAACTTCAATGCCAATACTGTGAGGAAATCCAGAACCATGTGCCCCCAACAGAGATCACTTTAAAGTATTTTTCCAGGTTTACCAGTGGTGCTAACTGCTAGTAAAATAGTCATCTGTTTAAGTCTACCTCATCTGACAGACTTAACCAGTCCATCCTGAAACCTTATTTTAAAGCAGATGTTCACTTCATTAATACCTCTTGCAAATATTATATGGCAGAGCAAGATTTAAACGTGTTCCTATATATATTATATATATACAAAAGAACACAATTGCTACATTTTGACTGCATAGGAGGACTAAATTATTAGATACCTTAAATAATTCCTGCTTCCAGGTTTTTATCTTCTTGGTTGATACTTGCTCCCAGTGTTTTTGTCCTAGAAATAACAAGCAATATCAATATAAATATAGCTTTTCACAACACTGCCAATACTGAGTATCATTCTAACAAACAAAACACTTAAGAAGAACACATTACATAGTAACAAAATATTATCAAATCTTGAATTCCCTCTAGTACAATTGCTGAAATAAAAACTTAGAGATAATTCTCTTACAAATAAGAGACTATCGTAATTTCAAGTTTATTGAGAAGTCAGACCAAAAAAAAAAAAAAAAGAAAATTACATGTTGAGTCTAACACCATTGAACTAAAAAACCCAATGAGCATTACAGATCCAGATGCTACAGAGGTAAAAAAAAAGTAGAGATTATTTTATTTCTTTGATTTTATTTAATCTATGTACACTACATGGTAACTGGGGTTATTTAAAGCCATAATTTACGCTCTACAGGACTGAGATCCATATTCATCCCAAACCAAACAGAGGTTACTAAACACAACCCTTCACAAATCCAAGACTGTGTATTACAGTGCTGCCTGATTGTTTCTTCCCTCTCCAGATGAACAATGTATATAAAATGCGATAAAATGCAAGCTTCCCAGTCTGCAAAATCCTTGTGAAAGTAAATCGTCTTCCGTACAACAATTATATTGGGCTTGACACTGTGGTAGCACTTCAAGTGTATGTTCAGTAAGTTCTACTTCACAAGAATTGATATGGCAATCTGAGTATCATAATCCTTACTTCATTCGCAATAATAAATGGCAGAACATTTCATTTCCCATTAAAGCCAGCAAGACACTAAGTCACAAGTCCCACAAAACCCCTGAGAATGTAGTTTAGAACAGCAGGGCTTTGGTTGGGATTGCTGGTTTTTTTTTACAGTAAACTTTCCATGAGCATTATCACCTCCATAACAGATTGACAGTTATAATGAAACACTGGAAAAATATGCTATGGCACAATTTGGTATAGATTTACACTAACCACATAGGAACATTCAATGGAAAGTTAAAGAGACCACCTGCCCAGTCCACCCTGACATTTAACAGAACTGAAGCTTATCAGAGCAACCTTCAGAATTCTGAGCAGAAACTACACAATCCATTCATGCCTACCAACTTCCTTTGATTCTTCCCCTTACTTATCATCCAAATACTAACCACTGTTATCCTGATCTCTGCTAATAACTCTTTTCTGTTGTCTAAAACAGCATGCAGGAGTAACGTGAGGCATATAAACAAATTCCCCAGGTATTACATGCACTTGTAAAAGTTCACATATGATATGCCACACCTAAGTAGACAAAAAACACTATCTGTTGTAATTATATATTATATGACTGCCAACAGTTGCATGCTTTAGTAAATCTAAATACACAAGCATGTAAATATCAGAGCTTTGAGAAGTTCTTACCATCAGGCGTATCGTAAGTGAGAGTTTCCATGGAAATAAGTAAATCATCTTCAAAAGGATGATTATACTAAATAAAAAAGGACCATTAAAGATTACAATAAACGATAAAAATAATGCTTTAAACATGCATGTTAAGTATCATTTTTAGACAGTGTTGTTTTGACCAAACTGTTTCATTATAAGCGTGCTGTTTTATTGGCTGAAATAGAAGTCAGCAATCTGGAAATATTAATTCTTGAGGAAACACACGTATTTTAAGCATAGATGTAAATCATTCAATCTCAATAAATCAGCCACAGACAAAAGCTTTCAGAGAGTTTTCTAAACCGGTTAAGTTACTCTATTGCAGTTTCTTCTAAACTTCCTCTGTCGGGGCCGGTAGTAGTCACTTAGCCTAGCCCTACAGCTCATGATGCGCAAAAACTCCAGACCCGGCCTTACGCCAGCACCAAGACATTAACACAAAACATTTCCCTTCAATGGTAATGTTGACAACCCTGAACGAACACATGCGTCTCTGGACAGAGATTTATGGTTCCCACATCTTTTAACACAAACCGGCTCTAAAGTAAGGATTCCTGGAGGGAGCCACCCACTTGTTTCTGTAGTTTCATTGCACGTACTGGCTCATTTGGGTTAAGGGCACCATAAAGACAACTTGGACTTAAAACTAAGTCACTAAATCAATATTGGCAGTCCCAGATCTAGGTCTTACGGACGTATGTGAGGAGCTAGCTCTTTTCTAGCCGAGTCACAGGGGTGCACGGCTCAGCACAAACCGCAAAGCTGCAAAACCCCGGGTGACGGCTGCTTTTGGCAGCCAGGAGAAAGAGGCTGTGACACCACAAGCAGTTAACTGTCAAGAGAATTCAGTTCCTGCACCTTAGCACACAGGCAGAGAACTGAACTTAATCACTCATGACACCCGGGGACTTGGAGGGGGGCAGGCAGAAGGGGAGCGGAGAGCGCTGCCCCTGCCCGATGCGAGCCGCTCAGAGCGCCTTCCAGAGGGACGCAGACAGGCAGCCAGGCCCGGCCGCACCACAAGCCGTTCGCGACAAGGAGGCCGTAAGCACAACTCGCCCCCGAGAAAGGCGATCGAGGCAGGGCAGCGGCCGCGCAGCTGACAGGGCTTCCCCGCAGCCATCGCCTCAGGACGGCCACCACAGCCCAACGGGCGGGCCGGTGCGTGAGAGCGGCTCTCACCCGTTCCAAGATGTGCTTGAAGGAGGCCACGAAGCGGGCGTTGCTCAGCCGCAGCCGCTCGTCCAGGTCCAAGGCCATGGCGAGAGCCGGCCCTCCGCCGCGGCACCGGGGGACGGCGGGGCCGCCGCCACACGCTTCCGCTCCGCCCCACGCCAATTCAAATTGCCCCCCGGCCCGCGCCAGGGCTTTCCGACCCATTTCCCGCCTCTGATTGGGCTTGGCTCACGTCAGTTTAGACTCCGCAGCCTATCCTAGTGTGGCTGGGCGGCCTTCTCATTCTGATTGGATGCTCCGGCGTCCGAGAGCACACCTCCTGCTTACGTCACCCGCTTCGACGCCCTCCCATTGGGTGCAGGGCTCGCAGAGGGTTGGAAGCGGCGCAAAGTCACTATTCTACCTAGCAACAGCGGTCGCCGGGAGCTCCCATTGGAGCACCGGAGAGCGGTGCAGGCCGGGAAGCTCTAGGGAGTGTAACGGTTGCGTTGGCTCCAGTGTGAGCGGCCGAAGGAAGGAGAAGGGACGCTGGGGCTTGATGCTAAATGGCTGCCATGAGGGAGCCTCTCTCCCTCCCGTCGTTCTCCCCTGCTTGATGGGGTTGCAGGCTGAGGCTGCTGAGGAGGTTTGGAACTGGCGCTGCTAAGTTGCCTGCCCACCAGCGCAGAGGTTTTGGGTGTCGGCCCGTTCCTCTCTGATACTCTTCAAGCAACTGTTCCTTATTAATAAAAACAGATTAAAAAATCACTGAAAAAATTAAAATCAATGAACGTTTTCAGCACATCACGTTCCCTGGAAGCTCCCATTGCGGGAGCATTTGCGGATTTGCCAACATAAAGACATAGGTGCAGTTTCCATAACGGCCTCTTGTCTGAAGCTGATTTGTGTTTATCTGCTTACAGTTTATTGCTTCCGTTGAAATGGCAGAGGAAAATACAGTTTCATCCATGTTTTAAGCACTCTCTAAGAAGTTGCCACAGCTGACAAGTTCTGTGTTAAGGCTTTGTCCTGTTTCTGGCAGGTTTCACCCTTTTTATGGCTCTGCATTAAGGCCTTAACATTTTTCAAGGTACAGTTTTTCTTCCACCGTTACACGAACCCCTGAGCAAGCCTTTCACAAGAGTAGTGAAGTGTCGATTGCTACCAGGAAGAGACGAGTGTGGCACTGATAACGCAGATTGACTCCACAAGTCGTTGAAGTTGTAAAGTAGGTATGCTTTATTCAGCGCTGAGGCGCATGGGGGTTTCTCCCCCAAAAACATGCGTGCCACTCAGTTCATTTAGATTACATATAATGATTACCTAAACATGGGATTGCTCCACGCCTCATGCATATGCAAAAGCTATTCCCGTCTAGTATTAGAATTGGTTTCTGGCATTCGTCCCATTGGTGTGCCTGTGCAGTGCCTCCTGGTGATGGTCGTTAGGGGGTCATGAGGATGAAGGCCTGTAGTTCCTCTTCATCACCGCGAGTAACCTCTTGCTTTCATGCAGACTCAGTGGGGTTTCAGCTCCTATCCAGACCTCAGGTTCAGTACAAGCTGGTTTTATGTATCTTAAAGCAGAAAATTGTCAAGTTTGTAAATTTTGTTACTCTGGCTATCTTTTGTTCCTTTTCTTTCTAAAGATACTATTTGAACAAGAATGTCTTAAATATTAAGCTATGAATCTTATCTATTACAATTCTGCCTAGCAGCTGTAACTCCTACAGTTCTGCTTCACCCAGCACAGTGACTGCTTAAGCAAGCAGGCACAATGTTAACCCTTTATTTCCCGGTATCAGCACTTCAAAGGTGATGCACTTGATCTCGCTCCTGCAGTTGTTGCTCTCCTCCCACTGGGATGAATGCAGGGCAGATCAAGAACCAGAATGAGCACCTAACTGCGTATCCTTTATTTTCTTGATAGCTTTGCAGAAGCTCTCAGCACTTTCTGTTGCTATTCATTTTGATGGAAGATATGCTTTGAATATATAAAAGCTTATATAAACTTCCCAAGATGAAAACAGAATCCTAAATACCCTGAATGATTTAGATTCCATCTCACATTGAGCTGACAAAATTGGTGGGCTTTTGGTGGTTTGAACCAAGTCCCTATGATCTTTCTTTTCCCATGGGTAAAGAGAAATAATACTACTACTTTACTACTACTTTACTACTACTTACTTCTCTGAAACTGGAAAAAGAAATCGTGTGATACTTTCAACATGGTCAAATATTGGGATAAGTCAGTAGTGTAAAGTTTATTAGTAGGCAAGTCCATATAGGTTCAGACCAAGCTTTACATAATGTGTAGTAAGGCATGAAGCCCCACACATAAAGAAGGGTAAAAGGAGGTATTGGATAACTAACTGTTCAGTTCTTCCAATAAAGTACTATTCCCATAGTAAAAGATATAAGAGAAGCATCATAAAGTCACTTGTGGGGAAAAAAAGCATCCTAAAGTCTCGTTTTTCACTCTGCGATTTAGGGTCATCATGGCCTTCATTGTGGGGTTTTGTGATCTCTTTGCTTTCATAATTAAAGAGTGAAATACGGTGCACGAATAAGATGAGGTTAGTTACTCTCACATTTCCTAGCTTAGGAGTCACTCACTTTACAACTGTAATGTCTTCTAATTTCTTAAAATGCAATTTTATACCAGAAATAATAGAGGCAGCCCAGACTTGTCTTACATTGGAGGTAATCACTAACATAGGAAAACAAGGGTATATTCCTGTTATTTGAGTTTTATTGTTGCAAGGTCAGTCGTTCAGACAATCTATCCATTAGTTACCTGTGGCTGTTTTGAATTCATGCTTCACTTCGCTGGAGCGACAGGAGGGCTCAATTGAAAAGAATTTCTTCTACCACCTGTGTGAGAAAATGAGAGTGGCATTCAGCAGTTGTGCATGACAACTATCCTATACCTGTGGGAACTGGTGTATTTGATAAGGCGTAACCAAACCTCCGTGACCTTAGGAATCACAGTCCACAAAGATTAGCTAACGCTTTCACTCAGAGCGTGCATTTAGTCAGAGTGCACAGCAAGGTAGTGCATCAAACTGTAGACAAGCAAAAGAAAGGAAACGAGGAAGAGCTATAGTGTTAAAACCTTGATGTTAAGGTCCCTATGGGAAACAGCAGCCATTATTTTTATTATGTGACCAGAATGGCCTATCTTTTCTTAGCGCTCCTCTGTCCTTCTTTTTTGTGTCTGCTGTTTGCTTAGCTATTGAGGTTGTAAATTAACAGGGACTACTCATTTGTCTTGTGTTTATGCAGCACCTAGCGTAACAAAGGCCTTGCCTCAGGTTCTACTCTAGCAGAGGTACTTAATAAATCATTAAAACTATTTCTGAAGTAATGAATAAGCTGAGTGCTGGAAGAAGTGGTTTGCACTCCTCGTTTTGAGTGGGGGTGAATGGGTTTAAAGGTGTAATTGTCCTATGTGCCATGAGGAGGCATGGGTCTTGAACACTACCAGTGGAGAGATGAAAATGGCCTGGGCCTGCAGTCAGTACAAAGCTAGGCTTCTGAGACTTCACTCTTGGATAGGTTCTCACTCTTGCTCTGTCACTAGGAAAGGGCAGACTAATGTCAGCAGGAAATTCCCTATGGTGTGAAGACAGCCAGCATCTTTTTGATCTTACGATTAAGTAACCAGTGAACACTGTGCCGTTTCGTACTATAAAAGAGAGTATTGTTGATTGAGACTGCCCAGGGGGGTTGTGGAGTCTCCCTCTCTGGAGACATTCAAAACCGATCTGGATGTGTTCCTGTGTAGCCCTGCCTTGGTAGGGGCATTGTACTAGGTGATCTCCAGATGTCCCTTCCAACCCTAACAATTCTGTGATTCTGTGATTCTGTGATATGATGCAGAAACACAGACTTTCAAGAAGAAAACTTCTTTGGTGCCTGTGTAGTGCTAGAAGCTTGCCCTCTGTTTTGCCAAGCACCACATCTTCTGCAATTCTTTGAGTAGGTCTGTGCAGAAATGTTTGACAGAAGATTTAGCCTCAACTTCTCTTTGATTCATTTGGCTCATGGAAGAGTAATCTGTGGGACTGAGATGTGTGTGCATTGCTTACCCTGTGGTATACTGCCATGTGTAATTGTTTTATTCATGGTGTTTATTCGTATTTGGAAAGGGCTGTGTCCTCTCTAGCTCAACACTTAGCCCAGCCTAAAGCTGTATTTTATCCCTTTAATCTTTTTATCACTTTTTTATAAATCAAAACATCTGCACTAAGTGATCATTTTTACTGTTCTGCTCTGAAGTGTCTCCAGTCAGTCAGTCTTCGAGTATGCAGGCATCTGGAATAGTAAATGGTTCTCTGAAAACAACCTCTGAAGAACCATATAAAAAGTGATTTACACATCTATTCTCTGTAAATGTTGATCTTCAGATATAGCCAAAACATCACATTGACTATTGAAATGACAAACTCATCCCTCTTCAGTGTATGTCTTCCGGATTGCATGCTGCTCTCACTCTTTGTATAGGGGAGTATGAAAGCATGGGATAACTGCTCTTTTCCAGAAATCCTTGCACAGCTCAGCTTGTGTCAAGTCAGTGAATATAATTAGAGATTCAGAGGCTGTAAAAAAAAACACTGAGAAGTGGAGAGGGGGGAGTAGCTGTAGGCATGCAGAAGAGCTGGCTGCCTGTGGAAAAGGGAGCTTGAGCAGCCCAGGATAAATGCATCAGCATAGACAAGGTGCTGCAGCAGGCGCTGTGTACCACTGCCTCTGCGAGGAGCCCTTCATTTCCTGCTCTCCTAGAGGCAGGACAGAAAGCAGTATTTTACTACATACAACTCTATCCAAAGTCATAGTTTCTTCACATAAGGCAGTCCCTGTATTCTGTTAAACAGGCAACTGTTTCCAAACCTTATAATTAAACACACCCAGCCACTCCTTAGCTCTGCTTGTATAAAACATAAAAGAAAACAACGCAAAAAAACCCCAACCACAGCTGGCCATCAGGAAGCCATCAAAAGTCTTGCTCATAAAGCCAAACACTTTGGTGAGCTCCCAAACACAGTTATCAGGCTGACTAGCATTATGTAGCTCCCTAATTCTGAACATCATGTGCAGGCCTGATGGAAGGGAACTGGAGAGGGCTCTAAGAATGCTCTT